CAGGTTGATATGGTTTGTCAAACTGCTTCAAACTTAAAACAATATGGAGACGCTACAGAAACTCATTTACAACAACAGATGGGAATATTTGGTATGATTTAATCATTAATTTATATGTATTTTGGGTTGGGGAGGGGTGGGTTAATAACTATAGACTGAGATACTCAATGTGATGTAAGCCTTTATAAATGTGCCAACCAGAAGACSATTGGATGTTAAAACAGAGCGACTTGTGAAAAGCCATTCTAAACATGGTTGGCACATTAACATAAGAATGAGTTTGTTGATAAACATAGTATCGCTATATGATGGCTAGCAATATACTAATTATTTTATATTTCCTTTAGGTACCAAGTCTGTTCAAGTTATTGAAGACATGGGAACACCAAGAACSCTCATACGAGGTGGTCTGAAGCATCACCAAATGAATTAAGTCTTTTGTAAATTGTTATTAGTCAGAGTGCAAAACATTATATTTTTCAAACATTCTAATGTAACCTGTAATGAGAAAGGCAAGCTGCATTTGGTGATAAAACTTGTCCAGGGTAAATATCTACCGGCAAGTTATTCTGCTCTAAACATTTGTCACAATCAATAATGCCAAAAAACAATACAAAAAAAGTTGGTAAACTTGAGGCAATTTTCAAAGACAACAAAAAGCAGAGAAAAAAAACCCTGCCTGACTGAAGACACGGCCCTTCTGTGTGTACCAGAAGCTGTTGTACTTGAAATTGAAATCCGTAATCTTTACCGACATATAGCAGAAAGAAGTGAAACGCTAATTTTAACACATGAAACCTGCTTAGTAAGAGGTGCACGTGGAAAGACTGCAGAGAAAGTTAGCTAGTTATCACAAACACAATTATTGCAGCATATTGTTTGGACATATACAGGAACAGTCTTAGTTAATAAATTTTATTTGATAAAAACAAATAAGTTCCACTTTATTAGTAAATGAACTGATCATTTMTACTGCCTATAAGTCTTTTGCTTGCATGCCTCAAGTATAATGCTAGCTGTCTTCAATAGAGGACTTTTAAGCTACAYAAGAACAATTTCATTTTGAAGTCTGGAAAATAATTATCTTGTAGTTCTTGTTGGATTTGGTTTATTTATACTTTTCTATTTTGTTTTTAAATAAAATAAGTCATGCAATTTATGTGTCTTTTCTTATGTAGATATCTACAATTTTCTGTTTATCTAGATAAAGCAGTATATCAATTTKAAAACCTTTGTAAAGAAAGTGCATTTAAATAGATTCATAAATCTGAAATAATGTAAAAATGCTGCACTTTCAGTACTTGGACCATCTTGAAAGAAACAGGAACTCGACAGAATAGGCCCTTTACAGCTGGGGGTCACGTGACCACACCTACCTTAAATCAATCAGCTATCAAAAAATGATGTTCAGAAATGKAAAGAGGGGATCAAAATAATTAAGAAGACATAGTTTCAAGTCTCAACACTAAATATTTCAAAATTGATAGCAAATATAAAATCATTTGTTTTTCTAAAGAAACATATACAAAAACAAAACTGGAGGGCAAGGATTGCTCTCCAGTTCTATTTTCCCATACGTTTCTTTAGAAAAATCAATCAATATTTTACATTTTTGCTGTGTCATTTTGAAGTATTTACAGTTGAGACTTGAGACTTTGCCATTTTACCAACGTAAACCTGCACTTTCCATTTCTGAACATCATWTTTTGATAGCTGATTTTGGTTTAAGGTAGGTGTGGTCATGTGGCCCCCAGCTGCAAAGGGCTTATTAACTTTCAATCAATCATGGTATCAGTGAGTTGTATGGCACTAATGCRGCATTGATTTGTACAGATGCTCAGTTATGAGGACCAGTCATAAAACTAAGCAGTTTCYATCAGGGCCTACTTGTGTACACTTTTCCAGTTATATTTCCTTGTATGTCAAGATAAAAGTTAATTGTCAGTTTAAATATAAACAGTTTTTTGGGATTTATTTAGTCCAGTAACATTACCCAGCCAAATGGAGCCCAGAAAAATGCCATTAACTGCAAATTTTAAGCACAAAGTTCCCATAAAAGGGTTGGGCTATTGTTATTGGTAAAGTCCAGGAAATATGTCATTCCATACTGTCATATTGTAAGTCGTAAATAAAGCCAGTCTTGAATTTATTAATGTC